ACTTCCACTCCATCCCTAGGAGGCATTATAGGATTGTGTGTGGGTTGATGTGAGAAGATGAACATCTGAGAAGTGTGACAAGATGCAGGAATGACACTTGTCCTCTTCCATCTGCAGTGAGTCCCCCAAGGAGGGATTCATGAGAAGAAACCTTCAATCATACAACAGCGTGTCCAGAGAGCCAGAAACCGAATACCAGCATATGCCGACTACTTCAAAAACTGAAGTCTGAAAAGCATAAAAGTAAAAGCAGCCAGACAAAAAGGCACAGTGCAAGAACACAAGGGCAGAGGCGCTTCACTACTAAGTTAGAGGGACAAACATATTGTTTAGTGGTTAAGAAAGCACTTCGGATGCCCACATTCCCTATCAGTATATCCATATGAGTCTGAGTCCTGACTCTACTCCTGATTCCAGCTTTCCGCTGATGTGCACCTTAGGAGGCAGCAGGTGACAGCTCAAGTCACTGGGCCCCCACCACCCATATGGGACACATGGATTGATCCTGGCTCCCAGCCATGGCTTTTCTAGCCATGTGGAGAGTCAGCCAGAGATTGGGGGAGGTGAGGGGAGAGCTTGATCCATCGCTCGCTCGCTCTCCCCCCATGGCTCCCAAATAAATTAAAAATAAATCAATCATAAACTTAACAGAGAATTTATAAACCATTAGAACTTAGGCAAACTGGCAAAGCATCCATTGATAAATTAGTGCTGAATAATTTTCTAGAATGTTGCACCACAATTTTACTAGGTTTCATTTAAGGTGAATTTGTAAGGTGCTTTCTCTAATTGGTCATTAAATTCTATCCTGTAACTTTGATTCTCCTATCAATTTAAGACAAGGTTCATACTCCCACTCCCAAGATTACTAATGGACTAATTTCTAATGCTTTTTTAAAAAAATTCTTTTTGACATGCAGAGTTAGACAGTGAGAGAGAGAGACAGAAAGAAAGGTCTTCCTTTTCCATTGGTTCACCCCCCAAATGGCCGCTACAGCCAGTGAGCTGTGCGAATCCGAAGCCAGGAGCCAGGTGCTTCCTCCTGGTCTCCCATGCAGGTGCAGGGCCCAAGGACCTGGGCCATCCTCCACTGCACTCCCGGCCCACAGCAGAGAGTGGGACTGGAAGAGGAGCAACTGGGACAGAATCCGGCACCCCGACTGGGACTAGAACCCAGGGCGCAGGCGGAGGATTAGCCTAGTGAGCCGCAGCACTGGCCCAATTTCTAATGCTTATATTTCAGTTTATGTGTGAGACAGTTATAACTGCTTAAAAGTTGTAGTGGTAGGGCTAGCACTGGGGCGTAGCAGATAAAGCTGCTGCCTGTAGTGCTGGCATCCCCTACAGGTTCCGTTTTGAATCCTGGCTATTCCACTTTCAATCTAGCTCTCTGCTATGGCCTGGGAAATCAGTTAAAAATGGTCCAAGTGCTTGGGCCCCTGCATCCACGTGAGAGACCTGGAAGAAGCTCCTTGCTCCTGGCTTGGGATCGGAGCAGCTCCGGCTGTTGTGGCCAACTGGGGAGTGAACCAGCAGATCGAAGACTTCTCTGTCTCTCTCTCTTTCTCCCCCCCCCTTTCTCTCCCTCTCTCTTTCTCTCCCTCTCTCCCCTTCTGCCTCTCTGTAACTCCGCCTTTTAATAAATAAATCTTTTTTTAAAAAGTGGTAGCGGTGATTACTCTACACCAAGACTTCAAACAAAACAAATGATTTATGAAAAAGTTAAGAGTAATATCCTTCAAATTCATTAATCATTCTAATGAAATTGGAAGCTTTTAATAAAATTGTTAGTTTCCCCAATGCCATTCACAACAACAGTGTTGATATGGCAACAAATTAAAAACAGAGCAGTACAAATTAGTAGGGAGAGGATAAAATCCAAAGTGTGAATTATGGTAATATATGAAACTACAGCAGTAAGTTTTTTATAGATGTGATTAGTAAATCATTACTTTCTCTCCATCTATGTGCAATTCTTTTACTGGTACCATGGAGCCTTTCTGAATTCATCAATTTGCTTTCCAATTATTTCCCAATATCCATCAATGCCAGATACCAGTTTTATTTTTCTCCATGGTGTTTTTTAAGTACTCCTTAAAAAACAAGTGGAATGAAAATGAGTCATTTCTTTTTGCTGTAACAACAGGCCAACCCAAAACATTGTCAGTTCTCAGAATTATTATCAAAACCACATTAACACATCAAATGCCAAAATTCATTATGTTGACACACTCAAAGATGAAGTCAGAATCTGCAGAATTTCCATGATCTGTAATTCTGGGCTTACACAGGGATATGATTGGCCATGTATTTGTTTATTTGTTCAATCAATAGCTCATACACTAGAACATCGTTCAGCACCTGCTATGTACTCAGATCTAATCAAAGTGCAGGTGCAGGGAATAAAGTGAGCAAAACAGACAAAACCTTGCACTCAGTGACTATGCTGTGTCACTTAATAGACTCATCCCCACAGTAATAAAATTCATTATATAGTCTTCTCTTTTGAGGAAAAGCTATGTGTATGTGTAAAGCTTTAGAGATTAGTTTGCAATTGTATTTTCTCTCTGTTCCAGGTAAATTTAAAATACTTCTCATCTGACAATAAAAGAAATAATTGTTCTTTGTTGAAAGCAAAGAGAAAGGTTCTGTGATACATATATCTACTGCTCATAAAAAAGAATTCTAAAACCAGCATGGAAATTTTTAGAGCATTTTGAAGAATTATAGGGGCAAGCATTAGGCCCAGTGGTTGAGATGTCATTTGGGATACTCACATCTCATATTGGAGTAACTTTGTTCAAGTCCTGGCTCTGCTCCAAAGTCCAACTTCCTGCAAATGCAGACCCTGGGGTATAGGAAGTGATGGCTCCTTGTGTTGGGTTCCTGACACACACGTGGGAAAACCAGATACAGCTCCTGGCAGCTGGCTTTGGCGTGACCCAGCCAACGCTGCTGTAGGCATTTGGGGAGTGAACCAACAAACCTACCCACCTATTCACCCTCCTTCTTCCTTCCTTCCCTTTCTCTCTCAAATAAATTTTAAAAAGAAGCCAATGTTTCAAAATGTATAATTTCAAACTTGGGTTCTTCAACAGCCAAATACTTGATTCGCCTGTCATGTGCTATCTGAAGATTAGTCATTTCCAGATACGTCTCAGTTACAGCCATACGTAAGAAGAGGTACAACTCAGCCATATTTTACAGCTTTCAAAGCTTACCTCCAATGCTTTTGTTCTGATTGAGTATTTTGAGAAAATAAATCTTTACATATGTATGAGTCATATCATATAAACACATAAAATATTGGCAGTTTTTCACAATTCTTTTGCTTATTCATTAAAAAGTGTCACTTGCAAGTAAAAAGACAAGCATAGTAATGAAGTAAATTTCTATGCTTTCCTTTAACTGGGAAAACACTTCATAAAAATTTGCAGTGTCATTACTGTGTTGTAGGCTGGGCCACATATTCCACTGTGACTAGCTACAAATAATTTTTTACTTATCCCAAATCATTTTTCTTACTTTGGTGAAATTTAGGAGCTTCTCTTTTATTAGACAACATTTTTACATTCTCAGTAGGCTTTTAATATCTATCCTTAACTTGTTCCTTCTGTATAGCTATTTCTTTTTGTTTTTTTTTTTTTAAGATAGAAGAGTCTCTTCCTGATTTTTTTCCCCAAGATGTATTAATTCATTTATTTGAGAAGCAGAGTTACAGACAGAGAGAGGGAGAGACAGAGAGTGGTCTTCCAACTGCTGGTTCATTACCCAAATCGCTTCAAGGGCTGTAGTTGGGCTGATCTGAAACCCGGAGCTTCTTCCAGGTCTCTCACGCATGTGTGCAGGGCCCCAAGCAGTTGGGCCATCTTCCGCTGCTTTCCTATGCCAGTAGCAGGGAGCTGGATCAGAAGTGGAGTAGCCAGAACTTGAACCTGTGTGCATATGGGATGCTGGTACCTTAGACAGAAGCTTAACTTACTACACCACGGCACTGCCCCTTATAGATTTTTCATAATAAAATATTGGGTAAGCAAGGAAAAATTGATCTTATTTACTACATTTGATGAATTTTTGTAGTTTTCATTTAATATTAAAAGCAATCTTTTTGTTGGAGTTTACTTAGAATTCACAAGTTGAAATATAACTTATTGGTCATTCATTCTAATTTAATGCATCATGTGATCAGTCTTGAATAATTAAACAAATACCTATTTTCCCCTACTTTATTTCAGTCATTATTCTAGGCACACAGAATATAATAGTGAGCAGTTAGATAAACAGACAAAAATCCCTGCCTTCTTAGAGCTATCATGCCTTAAGAATAGAAAATGATGTGTTCTTTTCTAGAAATGCAATCGTCTATAAAATTTAATTATATTCAAAGCATGGTAATTTAAAATACATTTTGCTACTTTCTTGTTTTCTAAAATTTCCAAGAGTTTATCTAGTGAGAAATAATGTATTATAAATGTTTTTCCTGATACATGAATTGTTTGGTAAAGCACTTGGCACAAAAAACTAAATGCTCATAGTTTTACCATTGAAAATGTGAATATCAGTATTTTTGAAGCCACACTACACCATCAAATTTTGTATATTTAGATAATTTAGGTTGGGTTTTTTTGGCAGAGATTGTACATTTATCCCCAGCTTTCCCTGTCACCTTCTTCCTTCCTCATTGAACTTCGCCTGGCTGGACACTGTTGTGAAACAAACATTTCTCTTTACTGATGGGTAGGACCTCAGTTAAGCTGCTGGAATTTAACAGCCATCTCAGGCCACATCGTGGAACCACTTAACGACTGCAGCCAGTTAGAAAGCATTTGGATCTCTAATGGCCGTAGTCATTAAGTCAACTCTGGAAAGGTAACACTCATATTCTGATTGCTTCTGAGAAAAAACTCTTGAGAACTGTCAACTGCAGGCAAATCCAATCCAGTAGTCTGTAATGCACTTGCACAAACTGAACAATCTGCTGGATTCTTTATCATTCTTACCATCCTGATGATTTATTGAAGATGATGAAACGTTCAACTATGTCACATGTCTATTATTGGCAACACCAGGATTCACCACTCCAACTCTTGGAGATTTTCCTGAAACATAAAAACACAAACATTTGTTTTGACATCATTTGCACATACTCACAGTTATCTAGAAACAAAACAAGGCACTCCTGGCCAAAATAGCAAGTAACTGATCATAACAAAAAATATCTTTATGGACAAAGGCAAAACTACAAAGGTGAGACACAGATAAATTAAGGAAGAAGGACATACTGTATATTTGATTAAGTTACATAGAACTGTCCATGACTTTTATTTGTTTTTATCAAAGATTTTTTAAAGCGTTCACTTCATGTGAAAAAGTGAAAAGTGACTGTGAAAAAGAAATGTGACTGTTTCACAACTTGTGTAACAGAACTGATGTCACTGTTGCGTTTTTATCACTCTTCCCTGTTAAATGTGGCTTCCTCTCATTTCTCTGAGAAATTAGGATCCCATATGCTCTAACTTCTTTTTCTCCCTCAGATTCTATACTCCGCATGAATGTTTACAGCTAGGTTACCTTCATTTTCTAATCAAGATCTCATCGATTAAAAATCAGATCCATCATGAGTCATGTAACGATCATACACAACTGGTTATTTGTCCAAATTCCAGTGAGTTATAACCACTGCTTAACTGTCTGAGAGCATTTTAATCCAGAGTGTTTAACATAACTTGAACAGCTACATCATTTAATTGGTAACACTATACCTTTACAAGCAAAAGCTAGCCTTGCACTAGAGACACCAAGTCTACAAAAAGTAAATACAAGAGAACTAAACCATCAAGTTTTAAAAGTTAATGTCAGGAATATCTCATTTAGTTCAAATAAACTGCTATGAAATATTAATCCTTTAAAATATGTAAACAAAGAGACAAGTACCTAAAAGTATCACCTCGATGAGAGCGTTTATATTCTGCTGAATGATGGGATTACATGACAGAAAGACTTAAAATATACCTATACATAAAAAGTTGGGCTCCCAAAACAATATGAAATATTTATACCATCTCTAAGTGAATGCCTATAATGTAAACAACGTACCCCACTTAAAAGAGTTTCAAAATCACTTTTACTGTTGCAATAAATTTACTTTCTGAAACTCTGAGGAAATTATAAATCTATTATAAAAATTATGTTATTTAATAAATTAAGACCAGAATTATATTATTATTCATGATCATCAATAATTATTAAACTTTTCAAAATATTCATGAGAAAAATGCTTTTAGTTCACAATTTACTGTGAAAAATTATAGTTCAAAGTTTCCTTTAATAACATAGACCTTCAAGTTGTATTTTAAATCTCCATTTCTACTCAGAAAAATTTAGATTTGAATACATTGTTAAACCAGCCTAGCAAGTGATATACTCTGGTATCATATCAACTAATATATAAGAAATTCAGTTATTTCATAAAGGTACAGTATTAAAATTTTATTATTGCATTTCCATTGATTCCATGAACTTTTCTTAAATTTTAGCACTGCTGTGTGTATAACGTAGTACAAAGAGGCAGTGTGGCATTACAGTTAACAATGGCTAATAAAGTGAACTGGGTTCAAATTCAGGTTTTGTGTAGCAATGGCTTTGGATACGGGTTGAGTACATCCCCCAGTGGTTCGTGTGCTGGAAGCTGGGCCTCACTGTGATGTGTTGAGATGGTCAACCATCTAAATGTGGCCTCATGGAAAGTGATGAGGAGTGGAGACTCCACTCTTACGAATGGGTTAATGCTGTTTTGGGTTGCAGGTTAGGTCCTGAAGGACTGAGTTAGTCACCTCAAGAATGAGTTGTTAGGAAAAGTGTAAGCTAGCCCCACCCCCAAGGCTCTTGCTTCCTATCTCACCAAATGCTAGTTTCTGTACATGATCTCACCAGTGTGATGCGATCACAACTAATTATCATCATAAGTGGTGCCCAGCAGAGCTCAGCAGATGCCAGTGCAATGATCTTGAATCTCTAGATCTGTGGGCTAAACAAACCTCTTTTCTTTATACATCACCAAGCATCAGGAATTGTGTTATAGAGCAACAGAGACTAACACAGGTGCCATCTGCAAAACCTTGAGGACATCTCTCATGTCTATGTGTCTGTTTTTAAATTAAGAACAACAACATTTATCTCATAAGGTCATGTAAGGAGTTCCTTGCAAAGCTTAGAGTCTCAAGTGAGAAGTGGACACAAAAATCCAATTCTGACCTCATTCACTGTCATTTATTCATTGTATTTTATGTGTAGCAATCCAAGGAAGCAAAAATAAGGACAGGCATTTCTGGCTGAATTGCTGACTTTTCCTTCTCTTCATCTACAAATGTTCTTGATACACTGAAAGAAAACTTCAGGAATTTGAGAAATCTTATTTTCCATGTCAGAAGCTATTACATCACTCTATGCGTGAGGACACATCTTAGTCTTATCCAGGTTTGAGGAATTCTTGCATCAACCAGGATAAATACTATATACTTGGAAAGCTAAAAACGAAATGCGTTTTTTAATTTTTTCTGATTATTACCCTTATTCAAGACAGAAGAAAAAGGCAAGTGACTGAGATGGAAGGACAGGATAGTAATGTTGCTCTACCTTTGAAAAAATACCCACTCAGGCAATGTTAGGAAATGGTATTATTTGGATCCAGAGTCCTTGCCAAGTGGACGTTGGCAGGCACTGTGCATTGGCCCTTTATTAGATTTGTCAGTCTCAGCCACACACATCTCATTTTAGTTTGGATACAAATGCCCTTCTCTTAGCCACCAGGGGGAGAAGTGCTGAAAACTCTATTACAGTGAAACTATTCAGGAATTGGTGACATTCCCTGAGATGTGCCCAAGGGGGGGTCTCCTTGACATCTTCACAGAATTCTACAAATATACTGGAAGAGTGTCCAAAAGAAGTGGCACATGCTTTATTTTTTAAATTAATTCCACATTAGATGTTTTATTATTAAACTTCTATTTATGGAGGATTAATATCTGGTGATAAATAGCATTCTCAGTGAGGAACCTCAAATAGCCTTCTATGATTACTACAAGGCTCACTTAAACCAATACCTTCATATTCTATTTGAGGATTAACAAAAATCTATGTTTTCATTTCATAAAGTTTCAATTCCTAACTATACATACTATACATTTTTTTTTTTGACAGGCAGAGTGGACAGTGAGAGAGAGAGAGACAGAGAGAAAGGTCTTCCTTTGCAGTTGGTTCACCCTCCAATGGCCGCCGCGGCCGGCATGCTGCGGCTGGCGCACCGTGCTGATCCGATGGCAGGAGCCAGGTGCTTCTCCTGGTCTTCCATGGGGTGCAGGGCCCAAGTACTTGGGCTATCCTCCACTGCACTCCCTGGTCACAGCAGAGAGCTGGCCTGGAAGAGGGGCAACCGGGACAGAATCCGGCACCCCAACCGGGACTAAAACCCGGTGTGCTGGCGCCGCAAGGTGGAGGATTAGCCTAGTGAGCTGCGGCGCCGGCCCCCAACTATACATTTCTAAACTTTCTAAATATCAACTCTCTCATTTTCAATTAATTATGCAATGAAACCATGAAAAATGTTTATCTTGATCATATCTCAGCAATTACCACATTTCAAAGAACTATTTTGCCTTACATGGGGCTTCTTTTATATGTATAAGATTGATCTCTCCTCTGAAGCTCTCTATGTTTAATCTTCCTATGAGCATTTAGAGGTAGAGGCACACATATAACACCGTAAGATATATTTTTACATGTAAATTGTGAATTCAGGCTTTAAAAAAGTCATTATATCTCAGCAAAACATTGATTTTGCTAATGGAGTAGTTCCAACATGACAGTAAGAGCACTAGCATTTTAGCAAACCCAAGTCTTGTAATGGATTTTGTCTTCAAGCTTTTTGGAATGTGTGGGACTTGGTCTTCCCTTTCAGATCCAATTGACAGTTTATTAAGTATTATGCTTAGATAAATAAGTCTTCTTAGATAATTTTTTTTTTTTTGCTCCCAACTCTGGAGAGAGAAAGATGCATAATTATCCTAGCACATACTAGGTCATACAGCTTTATCACACCTCCGAGCCTAGGTAAGATACATATGCATGCCAGTGTTGCCTTCAGCCTAGAAAACTACATATCGCCCCTTGGCTTTGAGTGAATTTCTTCTAGGAGGATAAAAGAAAGATGAGATGGCCAAGAGTGGTCATTGCCAAACCCTTAAAGGACAGGTGACCTCCAACAAATTAGTGTAGTGTAAAACAAGGATGGGTTAGCAGCAATGGGAAGCAAAAGATGAAATTGTTCTAAACGACATTTATTTCCTCACTATGGGACTCTCCTAGACTCAGTTTGCTCATATGATCAGATGAAGGAAGGAGGTCAATCAACATAGGTGACATGCTGGAGGCAGCAGAGAGTGCATCACAAAGATACTACATAATGTTTGTGGAAAATTGAACTAAAAGTTTACTTAGAAGCAAAATTATCTTGAAATCAATATAACTTTTTGGAGGGGGGTCTCCAAAAGGCTTACAGAGAATGCACATCATGAAAAAGCTATGAAAGATCTCTGCGAGTGAGATCCCAGTGGAAAGAATGGGTCATCAAAGAAGGAGGTACCTTTCTCTGAAGGGAGGAGACAACTTCCACTTTGACTATGGCCTTGTCTAAATATGATCAGAGTCAGTGAACCCAGGGGGCTTCCATAGCCTTGGCAGCTCATGACAAGAGCCGAGGGTGATTACTGATGACATAAACAAGAGTGTCAATTTGTTAAGTCAACAACAGGAGTCACTGTGCACTTACTCCTCATGTAGGATCTCTGTCCTTAGTATGCTGTATATTGAGATTTAATGCTATAACTAGTACTCAAACAGTATTTTTCACTTTATGTTACTGTATGGGAGCAAACTGTTGAAATCTTTACTTAATGTATGCTAAACTGATCTTCTGTATATAAAGAGAAACGAAAATGAATCTTGATGTGAATGGAAGGGGAGAGGGAGTGGGAAAGGGGAGGGTTGCGGGTGGGAGGGACGTTATGGGGGGGAAGCCATTGTAATCCATAAGCTGTACTTT